TTCTACCCATAACTGCCTTTTAATGCATCACCAACTACATTTCAGAGGTAAGTTTTATCTAGTATTTTAAACATACCTTGTTCTTAAATTGTTGTCTTCCTCTCTACCCATAACTGCCTTTTAATGCATCACCAACTACATTTCAGTCGGTAAGTTTTATCTAGTATTTTAAACATACCTTGTTCTTAAATTGTTGTCTTCCTCTCTACCCATAACTGCCTTTTAATGCATCACCAACTACATTTCAGACGGTAAGTTTTATCTAGTATTTTAAACATACCTTGTTCTTAAATTGTTGTCTTCCTCTCTACCCATACTGCCTTTAATGCATCACCAACTACATTTCAGGCTGTAAGTTTTATCTAGTATTTTAAACATACCTTGTTCTTAAATTGTTGTCTTCCTCTCTACCCATAACTGCCATTTAATATATCACCAACTACATTTCAGTCTGTAAGTTTTATCTAGTATTTAAGCATATCTTGTTCTTAAATTGTTGTTTTCCTTTCTACCCATAACTGCCATTTAATATATCACCAACTACATTTCAGTTTGTAAGTTTTATCTAGTATTTTAAGCATACCTTGTTCTTAAATTATTGTCTTCCTCTCTACCCATAACTGCCTTTTAATACGTCACCAACTACATTTCAGTCGGTACGTTTTATCTAGTATTTTAAACATACCTTGTTCTTAAATTGTTGTCTTCCTCTCTACCCATTACTGTCTTTTAATGCATCACCAACTACATTTCAGGCTGTAAGTTTTATCTAGTATTTTAAGCATATCTTGTTCTTAAATTGTTGTCTTCCTCTCTACCCATAACTGCCATTTAATATATCACCAACTACATTTCAGTCTGTAAGTTTTATCTAGTATTTTAAGCATATCTTGTTCTTAAATTGTTGTCTTCCTTTCTACCCATAACTGCCTTTTAATACATCACCAACTACATTTCAGCGTGTAAGTTTTATCTAGTATTTTAAACATACCTTGTTCTTAAATTGTTGTCTTCCTCTCTACCCATAACTGCCTTTTAATGCATCACCAACTACATTTCAGTCGGTACGTTTTTTCTAGTATTTCAAATGTACATTGTTCTTAAATTGTTGTCTTCCTCTCTACCCATAACTGCCTTTTAATACATCACCAACTACATTTCAGCGGTAAGTTTTATCTAGTATTTTAAACATACCTTGTTCTTAAATTGTTGTCTTCCTCTCTACCCATACTGCCTTTAAATGCATCACCAACTACATTTCAGCCGGTAAGTTTTATCTAGTATTTTAAGCACACCTTGTTCTTAAATTGTTGTCTTCCTCTCTACCCATACTGCCTTTAAATGCATCACCAACTACATTTCAGCCGGTAAGTTTTATCTAGTATTTTAAACATACCTTGTTCTTAAATTGTTGTCTTCCTCTCTACCCATACTGCCTTTAATGCATCACCAACTACATTTCAGACGGTAAGTTTTATCTAGTATTTTAAACATACCTTGTTCTTAAATTGTTGTCTTCCTCTCTACCCATACTGCCTTTTAATGCATCACCAACTACATTTCAGCCAGTAAGTTTTATCTAGTATTTTAAGCATACCTTGTTCTTAAATTGTTGTCTTCCTCTCTACCCATACTGCCTTTTAATGCATCACCAACTACATTTCAGGAGTGAGTGTTTATCTGATTTTAAAATACTGTTCTTCCCTTCTACAATGCCTGCGTAAACTCGTTTTCATGCAGTAAAAATTTATATAGACTCTAATGTGTCTGCCTTCTTCACTGACTAATAACTTTGTGACTAAATAAGTGACTCACTCAGAATGCAGCCACTACATCAAGTGTCTTCCACTACACACACAATCGTGTAGCTATTTACACACTATGGTGTGGTATGCGACGGCAAGACAGAGTTTGATCAGGGTCTGAGGTGCTACTATTATTCTTTCCCCTTCTCTAACCATACATTACCTATGCCCATCCTCGACTCACCTAGGACGAATATATCACCTCTGTGTCTACAGGCAGAAAGCCAACCAAGTTAGTGCTGATGTAACAGTACAGTAGATTAGCAATGGCCTATGTGTCCAGGGGAGGCAGTGGAAGTAGAGAGTGGAGGTTACAAATGAGAGAAAAGAAGGTGGTGGAAGATATTCAACCAAGTAAGTGCTCGTGTGGCATGTGATTCTCGTTAATAATGTTCAACAGCCTTTGATGTGATAGCAGAGAAGACAGTGATAGTAACAAATGAGGAGCAGCATGTTATCTGGGAGGGATATGGTCTGAGACTATACATTCCACCCGACTCACTACCAGAAGGTTGTAGTCAGTTCAAGCTGAGTGTAAAAGTTGGACTATCAGGAGAGTTCCAGTTACCCGAGAACGGTGTCCTTGTTAGTGCAGTTTATTCCTTCAGCCACGACCCAATAGAGGATCTACATCAGCCAATCACTCTGGAAATGGAGCACTGTGCTGCAGCAAGTGCTCTTAGTAACTTGAGCGTTGTTCGAGCAAAGAAGAACTCCAATGGTTTCAATTATGTTCCAGGGGGTGATTTCAGCTCAGTGAAAGGCTATGCAGTGATAAAGTTGCATTCCTTCTGTTGTTTTTCTACTTTAATGCTTCCTCATTCCTCTAATGAAATTGAATATTCCGCTAACATTTACTATACAGAGATGCTCTATTGCCATTTTAATTTTGAGTTCTTCATTATTCAAAATCTCAGTGCATTGGCTATGGTAAGTTTAATTGAGATAATATGATTTTTACTGCCCATTTTCTCTACAAGAGGGTTAAAGATCAGATTTCAAACAGAGTAAAGGGCAATTATAAGCGAGGGCCTTTTTCTAATTTCAAGTTCCAAGAAGATGAAGTCAGCCTTGAAATTCAAGAGAGCTGCGGAAATGGATGGAATATGATGGAACTAACCCCACTTGAGGTGCTATTGTATTATGCCTTGAAATCGTGCATTACTTTGAATATGACTTACAGGTTTTCAAGCGGGATGTCGATAGGTATGGTGCTCACATGGAGCTGTGTACATGTCAAGTGAAAGTCTGGTGCGAGAATGAGGAAGTTCCAAAGGAACTGTTTCAGAAAGTGATAATCAAGGGAGCTAAGCAGTGCAATTTCTTAACTGTGACCTCCCCAACACAATGTCTAACTAGTGAGTAGCTAACAGTTTACCCTTACTGATGGTCTAAACGATCTTCTCCTTTTCCGTTTAGAGCCTGCTCTGCCGCCAAGTACTCCCTCTAGTAAGATTCGCTTACGTTGTTTGTGATAATCTATGTTCACACTATTCTACCCTTGTTATACAAGGTCCCAGATCTGTGGATTCCACAGTATTTTTTAATGTCAAGCCGAAGTTGGCTGACTTGTCTAATGAGTTGGGGGATCTGACGTGGAATGACATTCAATCTCTGGCAGTACAACTGGAGATTGACTTCAACGAACTATTGAAGATCGAGGGGCAGACTGACCAGCCCACCAACCGTATGCACCGAGCATTGAACATTTGGCTGGAAAAAGACCCGAATGCTTCATGGGAGAAAGTGATAAATGCCCTCGATCGCGTAAAGGGGAAAGATGTACTGATCCAAACACTGAAGGAGAAATATCTTCCTCAATCTCCAGGTAATTTTACAGAGTGATAGTGTAGATTCTTTTATATCCTTGCTCTGCTTGTCTATCACTAGGTCTACAAGCTGGTGACCAGTGAAGTCCATGCTATTTTGATAATAATATTTTATACTTGTGTAAATCAGTGTAATAGTAGCATTTGAGCCCTGAAATAAATAAGTTGCTCAGGTATTCCATTAGTATGTTGCAGGTCGTAGTGCAGCCACGCTTGTCTGCAATCCCGTTTGAATTTCATTTAGGTCTTCACAAGGCAGAGTGGTCGGAGGATAATAGGGATTGCTCCTTGAAGGGCTTTTGTCTATAACCGGGGACAGTATTTGATGACAGTCGACAGAGCTAGATAGTAGAGAGAGCAAGTTCGAGAAGGTTGCAACTGCGCACGCGTGGTGATTTTGGCTTCCCCCTCTTTGAGGAGGGTTCAGTTGTCCTCATCGCCGGGGCAACCCTCGTGTAGCTCATAGAGTGTCTTGTCTTCGAAAATCCAGTAGCCTACCCTGGTACAAGGCCGTGTACTTGGGGTTGTATATCTGGTAGAAATAGTAGGGGTTCACCGCAATCAGTATCGTCCCCGCATACGTGTATATCGACTTTGCTGAGAATCGAGCTTTCAAACAAGACAACATTGTCTCCTCGCAGAGTTCCTCGAGGATACAAAGGTCGGTAATTTCCGCGTTAAACCCCTCATCCCGGAGGGGATGAGTTCGGAGACAAGCTGTTGGAGCACGAGGCTGGCGTTGCGTTTCCGCTTGAGGGTAGATAGAATCGCGTGTCCTTGGAGCTCCAATTAGCACTGCCTGACGACGGGGTTTTCCCCCTTCTTGGGGAGGGTCCCAGTTGTCCTCGTCGCCGGGGCAACCCTCGTGTAGCTCATAGAGTGTCTTGTCTTCGAAAATCTGCAGTCGCTCCAGAGCTAATCGTATCACCTGGACAACGAGGAGAGAGACAGACAGAGATGGAGGGAGGGGAGATGTTGTTAAAAGTATAAAAAACGCAGGACAGCAAGAAAAGCGAGTCCACGAACTGCACGGTTCTCTTTATTATTTGCAATGCCGGAATACTTAACACATTCACCGGCCAATATGCATTCTATATAGTTGGCGAGCGGGAGCGGGCCAACCTAGTCATTTGTTCGAGCGAATTTTCTATATATTTTCTATACGACCGGCTGTCGTACGTCGTGTAAGTGCGCATGCGAAGCTTTGTACGCGCTTCTTTTTATCTGAAACCATTTCCAAATTTTTACATATTTTCAAACACGGTGCCTCGCGATATGCGCCGATCTATCTAGCCAGCTAGAGAACTCTCCGCCATTCGACGGCATGCGATGCAACCTTCGGTGACTGATCGAGGCTGTACCTCTTCCCAATCTTCATGGTTCGAAGGTGCAACTTGTAAATACGCCTAGGATTGCTCGTGCACATACTGCTGCATGCCAGCGTTCCTGGTGGACAAGTACCGTTCTGCTCACCTGCTCACCGTTCTGCCAATGTACAGTATGCATGTAACGGCGACAGGTAGATCTGTCTTGTTTCACGAAAGGAAAGCTGCGCTGACGGCACGTTATGCAGCCCGAACATCGCGGGCAAATCCCAAGTTGGGTCGCTCCCGCTCACCAACAATGTTCAACATTTCCACTAGTAGATATATAGATATTTGAACATGAACCTGTTACATGTAGTGTACCTCAAGGGTGGCGGTAGTTTGGGAAGCCAGAACTGAAGTGTAGTAAACTGGCCTCAACTCCCCTGGATACACCCTTATTGTCGTCGGGCGGTCCTCCATGGCAACCAGACAACAACCACACCCCTCTCAAAACAAAAGTGAAAACGTTTGCACCCAAAACTCTACAATAACGAGTGTTTAGTGTGTGGAGGGAATTCCGCCATCAGCAAAAGTAATATCTGTAAGAAGAGAAGGTAGATGCGTAAACTAATATTGGCATACATGTTACCCTAGCAACAGAGCTCTTGGGAGCATACATGTTAAAAACGCTACATACAACATGAGTATAATATACTTCACATGGTAAATGTGAGAGCCCACGGCATGTAAACATGCCCACACAATCAGAACACCATCTACAACATAACTACATGACACTAACAACAGGTCCTACATGATTGTACCTGCACCTGTACCTGCAGTGGTACAGTATACACATATATATAGACACATACAGGTTGCATAATTAATACACCCAAGATGTGTACATCAGCTGTACAAGAGATGTACAACAATACAAGACAGGTACACATAATGTGTACATGCCATGCATAATTCGTATATAGTGCACAGCCATGCATGTATAAGGTTATTTAACTTGCACATGATTTGGACATTAACAGTGGTATCCACCACCCCCTTCATTATTGGCGGGCAAAGTTTTCAATTCATTTTTTTGGTGAACGAACATTTTCAACAACTCCACACGATTTCCGCAGGTGTGAATACAAACCACCTCCACGAATAGATACACATTATGAAAGAATCACACATACTGTAGAACGACTACTGTAGGTAGGCTAATTTTTCACTTGACAATACTCAGTACAGTACTATATATACTAGAAAATTTCACTATAGCATAGTATCCACCATTCACAGTATATACATGGAGGCTGTATTAAGTACATGCAGAGTTAAGTTGTGGAGATAGGAATGTTAATTAGTGGCGGGTCACAATGGCCGTAGCAGCTGGTGGGTCTAGAGAAGTGGCCAAATATCTCAGGACAGAAGCTGTCAGGAAATGATGAACGGCCAAACAGGAGATTTGATACTACAAACATTCCTTGCTGTATGCATAAACAAAGTCCTACTCAATACACTACTGACAAATGTATGAATGACATTGAAAGATGTTCGGTCTATAACGCAGTGTTATGCTTCAACACTGTGCCACCAATGGGGCAGAAGAAAGTGAGATTCTTGCATGCACAAACCTGGGGGAAGAAAAGGTGTCCTCGTTTCAGGGGTCTTCTCAGAGAGAGGTTCCAATGTATTATACAACAATAAGATGCCAGCCAAAGCCTCAATAGCTAGGGCCTTTCGAGCGCTCGCATTAGCTGCTATACCGCCTCGATATCTTCACCCCAACACAATCATATTTGCACGGTGTGTGTGCAAATGGTGTCCCCGTATCCTAGTGGTGTGAGGACCCTAACCGGAGTCGCTTGCCAAAAACTTCAATAGCCGTGGCGACACACCCTCCATCCCTAGTACACACCTGACACGAGTACACGCATACTTGTGTCTCTGGTTTCAGAGAACACTATTTCTAAATGAAAATTCTTATTACATGTGTGCGTCAAAACTTTGATGTAGAATAAACACCAGTGCCTGCGCCGTTATTTAAAGTATGTGTGTACACTGTACCATGCAGTCAAACTGCAGAACTCCAGTCTTGCTGACTACGGTACTATACTAGAGATGGCACGGCACCTTGCATCATAGATGTGTGTGTCTCATCATCGTAATACAGGTGAAAGGGTTCAACGCAAGGTGAAAGTTTAAACAGTTCAATAAACTATGCATGTATTGTGTATGTACATGCATTACGAAATCGTAGGGAGAAGAGTGAAAGAAGCAAACGAGAAGCTAAACTTTCGACTAACTTCACAATTGTAAAGGAGAAGAGTAGTGAATAACACAGACGAGGTGGTTATGGTTACGGTAATGGTAGAGAGAGCTCGGAGCTGATCTTATTACTTGCTAACCACACCTCTATCTGGGATATTTACTACCTATACTGATGTGACAGTTCAGCTGATTAGCACACACTTTAGTGTGTACATACTAAAACACAATATGACATGTATGTAGATCTAGCTACAATAGTAACATAACAGGTGACTAGCTTCGTAGTTGTAGGAACGCTATACGTCTAAGTACATACTGTACCTCATAAATGAAACCAGTCACCTGCATAAGCTAGGTATATAAGAGAAGCTAAGTATTGGCTACATGAACAAACTGTGCACTTGCTACTGTACTGACCGACGAAAGAGAGCACAATGTATGTATGTAGTGTCTGAAGGCTGAAGGTCTGTGAAGTTATAGATACACTTACGAGATGCCGAATTTTCACTCAGAGCACAAACAACATTGCTAGTCTCTCTTCTTCCCTTGTCTTCTTCCGGAACTTCAAAGCAGACCATTACCAACTTCGTATAATTAGGGACACATTATGAAAGTAATATTGGTGCGCTTGTGCAAATCCCGCGATGCCCTGATTAGCCTTATAGCCCTGATCATGATCAGAAGGAGCGAGGGCGAGATAGAATCGGGCTATGAAGTTGAACATTCATCACTAGTAAGTCATTTACCCTCGGCGCGCATTCGCAGCGAGGGTTACAGTACTTGGTTTGTCCGTCTGTCTGTCTGTCTGTTACCACATGTTCTGCAACCACGCGCAACAAAGAGGTAAAATCGCGACACCAATGTTCAGCGCTACACTGGCTTGATTTTAAAAATGACGATTTTCTAAAAGTGCTGTGTTCAGAAGTTATGGCGTGAAAACGTGAGAACAAGCCAATATGCTATCTGATCCGCTTGCTCTGTGTACCTCGGAGGTACAAGAAGCCACAACGAAGGGCGCGTATCGACTCCCGCATGCTATCTGCTACTGTAGCTATATACCCGGACCCCGTGTCAGACTCTGCGCGAGCTATATACTAGCGTGCAGATCACGAGTAAATAGGCCCAGCCCACCAATTAGCGGTACCGCGCATGCGCAGTTCGCCGAATATGTTAATCTGCAAAGGCGATGCGTGGCTGAGCTATGACTTTTGAAAATCCTTTTAGTAGTTGTTGTTACTTAGTAAGGATACCAGGGTCGGGGTATCCAGTACTAATAGGCGAATATCTCTGTATCATAACATGGCTGCTTGTCACATAAGGTGTATAAATAGTGTCCATGCCCGCTAGTGGCAAGAAGGAGATTTAATATACTACCTTGGGTGGGGTTGCTTACTTTCTCTTAAGAAAGTGTGAGGTGTTCTGCACCCATTGGCATTTAGTATATAGTACAAAGCCAAAATTATAAGCTAGAATGGGGAGTTGCTGGAGTAAATCAAGGTACCCAACACTTCTTACTCATGCACAGCAATGGTTACACAATCACTCACTACAGGTGGGCGGAAAAGAAGCAAGGTATGTGGTAATTAACCCTCGGCGCGCAAGAGTACTTGGTTTGTCATTCCGTCCGTCCGTCCGTCTGTCCGTCTGTCCGTCTGTCTGTTACCATGTTTTCTCCCGCTACGCGCAACAAGACGGGCAAAAAGCGATAACCAACGGGTTCAGTGCCACACTGGCTTTATTTTAAAAATAGCGATTTTGGTAAAAATGCTGCGTTCGAAAGTTACGGCGTGAAAAGCAAGTCAAGGAGCTAATATGCAAATTAGCACAGGCTTACCTCGACGCGTCCGCTCGCTCTGTGTATCTTGAAGGCACAAGAAGTCGCAACAAAGGGCATATATCAACTCCCGCATGCTATCTACTACTGTAGCTAGCCCGTGACAGACTCTCCGCGAGCTACTAGCGGGATACCACGAGTAAAGAAACAAAAAGCCAGCCCATCAATTAGTGGTACCGCGCATGCACAGTTCGCCGAGGGTTTGCACTTTAGTGCTTTTAATGTTAAAATTGGAATGATTTATTGTTCTGTCCTATGTAGCGTACGGAGCCAATTATCGAACGACTTGTGTACCGGCGCTTGTAGCTCCGTCCAGAAACGCCTCCGGAATTCGGTTCCTGTACCGTCGCAAACCCCATTCTATGCTCTACTAGACTCGCAAAGGTCCAGCCCACTAACGGTTTTCCATTTAGAGCGCTCTCCTCCGTTATATGTCAATGTCACGGACCATTTATCGAACACCGGTACCGACCGCCGAACGTGCGTACATTTGCGCATAACGAAATATCGAACGCTGGGGAAAAACCCCACCTACAG